ACCCTTATCTGACCCACAAACGGGCACTCAGAACAAGCTGTAAAACACATGACAGCAGCCTTAACCACACTTGTTGTGAAATGTCAAAACTTGAGATCATTTCAAACTTGATCGTGAGTTTCTCTTTTCATGCTGAGTACAGTAATCACAGAACACAGGTTCTTTGTGTGCGTCTAAAGGCATCGGACAGAGGGAAGCACTCACTCAGCTCAGTGACCTCTCCCTGTAACTCGTCATGGTCTTTTCTCAGGTTGCTGTACTTCAGCTGGAGCTGATTCAGTTCCGTCATCCACAGGGAATTATTCTGGGAGGAGGGTTGGTCACGCACTCCATTGTCTGGATAGAGAGGAAAACGAAGGGAACGCAGAGACCCACAGCAACATGAACATACAGCAACATTATGGATGACTACTACTGCCTCTATTTCCATCCATCTGGTGATACGAATTAACCGCTCGTGAAATTGGCAGATACTTTAATCTTAAACAACTCACATTTTCAACGCTGGGTATTTTACTGGAGCAATTCAGGTCAAGTGCTTTGCTTAAGGAGATAACAGCTGTGTCTCAGCTAGGATTTGAACCCCTAACCTTCCAGTTCTGTTTCCAGCACCCTACCACCTGTTCACCTGTTCAGCACCTGTTCACAGCTCCACACCAGTGTCAATTCCAGTACACCGAGTGGAAACAGAATGCACCATTAACGTTCTGTGCTATTACAGCCAATGACGAGGGAATGACACAGGCAGAGTGAGCAGAGTCATCACATCCCTACTATGACCAGAGCCTTAGAAGTCTGTCATTATAACCCTACAATGACCTGGTCTATTTAAACGCCAACAAGTCCATGAGGCATACAGTATGATAGGTGTAACTTTAGAATAAACAAGTCCTGAAATCTCCTAGCAATCCTACAAACCACAGGATTTTTCAGACCAGCATGACTGCAAATATTAATATTCTACTAATAGTAAGAAAGATGTGCAGGAACATTCAACATTCATCCAGACTTTTGCGACTGTTTGCATACCACATGCTTGTTTATGAATGACACATACACAGTCTGACAGTGTGTTATACTCACAGTGGACACACAGGGCAATGATGATGGTTAGTGAGACTGCACACAGCAGCCCCAGGCACACTGTGGCCAGTCTGTAGGGAGAGCATACAAACACAACCCCTGGCTGATTCAGCGAGCCTCCATAACAGTGACCTTGCAAACAGAGAGACGACAAAGCTCCACAGGGCAGCCAAAAACATTACTAGACATTACACATCACAGGGAGGTGAGCTTTTCTCCATCAGATCCAATTCTATCCTACGGACAACTCGGGCAGTACAGACAGAAATGGCTCACCGAGTTCAGGATCAATCGCAGTGAAGATGTGTCAGGGTTTACAGAAGAAAGTTCATCTGTAAAACAGTCCCTGTGACAGAAAGAATCCACAAATCATTGCTAAACTAAAGCTAACATGCACGAAGACTGCTGCCTTACCAGGGTACAAGCTTACTGGTCTTCCAGTTTGCAAGAGGTCCAGTTTGCAAGACAAACACTTGCATTGTGTATTCTACAGACCTTGATATCTGTCTACAATTCTCTACTGACTGCAGTGTTTGTTTTTCTGTACTCACAGGTTTTCTGTGATCCTAGGTGACTGGCTGTAGCTTTGTCCACTGTGCAGTACACATTCTTTTCAGGGTCCAGCAGTCCACTATATACTATATATCAGGTGTCTCATATTCACTTGCGTCTGGAACATCTTTTTCCATCTTCTCATGAAGACACAGGCTCTCCTTCCACTTTTTTTGACACTCTCTGGAGTGCCTGGACTGAGTAAGACTTAGAAGTCTTAAGGCTGAGTCTCTTTCCTGTAGATGTTGAAACAGGGAGTAGTCCTCTCACAACACAGGAAGTTGGGCAACAGTCAGAAATGCTTTTATAAGAATATTCATATTACTGTGTTTGTATGTGGATCCGTGCATTTGTGTGAGCTTATGCAGGAGTACTGTATACTGTATGTCACTCTCAATTGCCTCGAACATACTCCAAGGCAATGCCTGGGTAAGGAGAATAACTCCTGGCAAAGATGAGAAGCAGAAGTTCCCACCATGTAAATGAAACAGAACCTCCTCTAAATCAAACATGTTCTGGTGTGGGTCTGTTTTTGGCCCATGAGCATGGTTCACTGGAGAAGAACTTGGAATACTCAATAAAAAACAGCACCAAAAAATAGGCCCATAAATGTGTGTGTAGCACAGCTTTTGCTTACAAACCTTCTTGCAAACAATAGTGCCCATTAGCATGGTGAAACCATCTGGAGATGCAGAGGACAGAGGGGAAGAGTGCCAGACTTTCATTGAAAATGCCATTCATGCCAAACTTCATGCAGCTTTAAGCAATGCCTGATGCTGTGAGGGCAACACGAATGCACATCCTGAGCTCTATGAGGGTTGTCCATCTCAGGGCTCCTTACTAAAAACATTGAAATACTGTATATCTGCTTTCTCAGACAGGCCTAGTAGTAATAACATTCCACAACCAGAGAATCGGGGCAGGAGCTCGGACAGTTTTATTTTTCACAAACAGCTTGACTGGATCACAATTATACACTACTTTATATAGAACATGAAGAAATACATTTTTTTAAGTGCTTGAAACATCAAACAGGTCTCTGATTGTTAGGTTACAAAAACCCTGCATTGGGTTCATTAACACTTTCTCAGTTTACAAATGCCTGCTGCACGTGTCTCTCGGCGTCTCTCTGATTCACTCCCATTCACTCTGGATACACTTTTCTCCACAACTCACTCCTCTTCCGGCTCATTCGTCCCCCTCTCTGTCACTGGTTCTCTTTCTTCTCTCCTTCCATCCCTGTCCTGCCGCGCCAGGGCTGTCTCCTCTCACAGATCCAGTGCAAGTGCTCGCTGCAGGAATCCGAATGGACTTTCCGCTCCGACCCACTCCAATGTATGACAATGCAATTACCCGGATAGCTGTCATCAATTACGAGCCTGTGACGGAGATGAAGACTGGGGTCACAGTAAGATGGTCACTTTATTGGCCATTTACAATCTCTTGCATTAGGAATTTGTCTTTTCGCAGACCCCAGCTTGCTCTCCATGAGACACACAGACAGGGAGAGAAGCTGGGGGTCAGAGCGCAGGGTCAGCCATTTATACGGCGCCCCTGGAGCAGCTGGGGTTAAGGGCCTTGCTCAGGGCTCCAGCGGAGTAGGATTCCTCTGCCGGCAGCGAGAAACGAACCTGCAACCTTTCAGCCACAGATCCTTAGCCACAGAGCCACCACAGCGCCCCGACAGTGTGAGTATGTGTAAAAGTGTGAGCATCTCATTAGGCATTGAAATAATTCTGGAAACAAAGGGCAACATTTAACTTTCAACTTCACATAAGAACTTATGCATTACTGAAAAAATAGCTCTTGCATAGAAATGAATTGTTTCCTAATACATTTCAATCCTAAATTGTTTGGAAAGGGCCCCGGCAAGCTCTGTTTGTAGAGCATGAGACCTATAATCTCAGGGTAGTGGGTTCATGTCTCAAGTCGGGGCGCGCCAGGTCCTCCATGTTGGAGGTTGGGCACAAGGCTTTGTCCTGTAAAAAACTAATGTAACTGCATAACGCGCAAACATCCAACATCCACAGTTGGGTAACGGCATTGTGCAACGTGTGGCAACTCATCAGAAAATGCCACTAGGCCTACAGAAATATAAACAGAGTTGAAACAAGTGTTGAGAAGTCCCCAAGAGTGATAACATGTTTACAGGATTATGTCTGAATTATGAATTAAATTACATCCTTTGGAGGGTTGCATGGTGGCGCAGTGGTCACAACTCACAGCTTGATGGCTGCCTCATAGCATTGGAGCCCAGGGTTCAATTCCTGGGGTGTTATCTCATGGATTGTGTATGTTCTCCCAGTGTTCGTGTGGGTTTCCTGTGGGTGCTCCGGTTTCCCCCAACAGGCTAAAGACATACTGGTAGGTTAATTTGCTTCTCAGAAAACAGGCCCTGGTGTGAGCTCGTGTGTGTCTGTGTCTGTGTGTACTCTGTGACGGACCAGTGTCCCACCCAGTGTGTATCCTGTCTCATCCCCATTGCTTTCTGGCATAGGCACTCCAGTTAAGGAAATTCTTCATTCTTAAAAGTGAGTATCTGTTATTGTAGTTTAACACAAAGGAAAATCGTTAGAACGAGGTGAATATTTATGCAAGCCACTGTATGCTGACTGACTTGCATCATCTCCGAACTTACAACGTTGTATTCAGAGTTCTGCCATTAACCCAGCTCCATGAGGTTCCCATGTTCTTCCTTCTCAGCCCGATCCAGTAATAACCCGAGCTTATAAAAGTGCTCAGCATGTCCTGCAAAGACAAACACAGCAGGCTGGTTTACTCTGGATACACAGTCATGGCAAGTACGCTTTAAAGGGGACCTGCAGCGCTAAGTTCTCAGACTATTTATTTAATTGCTGTAACAAAATATCTCAGATGATGCTATCACAAAATTTTACAGATTCTGAATTAAGCCCAAAATTGTGACCTTTGTGAAAGTAGTGTATAATCGTCATGTTGTTGCAAACCACTGGTCTCACCAGAGGCGAGAGTGAGAGTATACAAGAATTGCTATGGCAGCCTTTCCTGTTCACTAGTCACCATAATGACTAATGTAAGCAACATATGAGCGATTTAGTACAGGTTATTCAGCAGACATTTCGCCACAGAAATGTTCCAACACTATCTGCATTCAAAGTTAACAAGTATGTTGTATTTTTCGGCATAACCGTCACATAGTCCAGAGCAATATTTCTTTTTGGATTAAAAGAGATTTGTTCACAAGCCTGCTTCTTTGCAATGTAATAGGGCCACTTCACCTCACTGAAAATTTTTTTTGCCTCATTTTCAATCACAGCAATATGGCACTGTGCATACCTGGAAATTGAATCTGTTTTATGATGTGAATTGCAGGTGTTACGCACTACGGAGTACCGTGTATTTTACCTTCATTGTGGTTTGAAATGCAGTCATCAATGCCAATTCTTTCTAACCCGGAATAGATAAAAATAGCATTGCAGTTCTCTTTTAGTTCTTTACATTGATGTACCTCATTCCAGCTGTGCATAATGCTATCTGTGTGTGTTAATGGGGATGGGTGTTGTCCTCACCAGTTCCTTCTTGTCGTCAATCACTACCAGATGAGAACCGAGTGACGAACAGGAGCTGCGTGCAGATTCCCAGCCTTTGTCTGCAGTATTTATGTAGTAACAACTCCCACTGTGTCCTCCCTTCCATCCCATTGGACAGCAGCTCTGTTCTGCATAGCCAGAGACACAGACAATGACACAGGGAATCCCCCTGGTTTAATACTGCTGTCATCCACAGTCCACCTCACACTCATCGCTTTCTCCAAACTATATGATCAGATATGTACTTCTCTGGCCAGTGGAGGGGTCCATGCAGAAGAAAGACTCCAGTTGCTCCATGTAGCTGTCCATGCCACTCTCGCACCTCTGTGTTTCATTGTTGCATATCCCTCTTTGCTCCTCTTCTTTCTTCATCAGCCTGCTCTCCCAATCTCTGCTGTTCTTCACCACTGCAGGCCACACCCAAGAAAGGAAAAGTGAGCACCTCTAATTCCCTCAAAGATCCCGCCTAACAAAAGACATGAACCACCTCTAACTGGAGCCAACTCACAGTCATTTTCCGCAAATCCCCTAAGTCTTTACATTTGCAGCAGGTGCCCTGACATTTTGTTGAACGGACACAATTTTATCAACAGCTCTTCCAGGAAAGTCACAGGCAGGTAGCACCAGTGGCAATAGGAGCAATGACAGCCACCCAACTCTGATTCACTCTCAGAGTTAATGATTCTGAGATTCTGTCCCATTTCTCTTATAGAATCTGGACCTGTATGTACCTGTTCACTAGCCTAGAATCCTAGATGGCTACATGTCAACAAAGCTCATCTCACACATAGTCAATGTGGCACAGGCTTGTCAGGTAGAGCATCCACCACAGGTCACATTCTCATCTTGCAAGGAACACACTGTTATATGAGCAGGAAGGACAGCAAGTTAGACCCCAGCCTTTATTCAGTGAGTGAACATAGGACACAAGGTTCTCTAATAACCCATACTGAGCAGCAGCAGTATAACATCGCTTTATTAGCCCTATACAATTTAGTGGATTAGGAATTCATTTTTTCACAGACCCCAGCTTGCTCTCCATGAAACACACAGACAGGGAGAGAAGCCTGGGGTCAGAGCGCAGGGTCAGCCATTTACAGCGCCCCTGTAGCAGCTGGGGTGAAGGGCTTCGCTCAGGGGCCCAATGGAGTAGGATTCCTCTGCCAGCTGCGGGATTTGAACCGGCAACCTTCCAGCAACAGGCGCAGATCTTTAGCTACAGAACCACTGCTCCGCCCCTTTTTAAATAACATCACTTTATTAGCCCTATACAATTTCTTGCATGGGGGGGTGGTGTTGGTGGTGGACGATCATGTTTCCTTTACAACGGCAACAACACTCGCACTATCTGTGCGGAAGAAAGGCCTGGCTATCTACTTCCGTTTCCTACCACGACAGCTCTATGGATAGTGACGGTGGAACTGTCCATAAGGTCGCCATGAGTCCACACCAACTTGACGGCACTCATCCCACCCCATTAAATTATCAAGCTTTTGGACCTTTGTCTCAACACCCTTCATCAGCTGAAGTGTGGGAACTCTGAACTGAAGAAATCATCTGCTCCACTGATCGATGACTTCTAGTTTTTCCCCTAACGTTTGGAAAGTAACCTACAATATACTGTACAGTATGTCTAACAGGAACGGGACCTCTGTACTCGATTCTGCTTCATGACGGGGATGCATCGCTTCCACACAGTAAAAAAGATTGTTTGGATAAGTGGGATGAAGGAAGCAGGATTCCGATATGACTGTATAGGACTCCCAAGAAAAGTCTTCCTGGGCTGAGCATTTATTTACTCATCTTTAGCACAGGAATATAAAAACAGGCAGAAACGAGAGGATGACATTCAGCCTATCTCACCTGCTTGGTAGTTAGCAAATAATTGATCTGAGGATCTTATCCAGACATTTTCTGGAATAAATCAGGGAAGCAGCTTCAATAATATGGCTCAGTAACTTATTCGATAATACTTCCCCAGCCCTGTGAGTAAAGAAATGCCTCTTATTTTTGGTGTTAAATGCATTTTCCACTTGGTGTGTGCTTTACCATTGATTCTGTAGCTGGGTTGACTTTATCAATGCTCTGAGGACTGAGGTCCCCTAGTAATCTTCTCTGTTCATTTGAATAAAAATCCATTATGGAATAATCACACATGCACATCCACGGTGTGTTATACTCACAGTAGGCTGACTGGACTATGATGACGGTCAGTAAGACGGCACAGAGAAGCCCCAGGCACAGTGCAGGCAGTCTGTAGGGAGAAGGGTTGGGCTCCACTCTCACTGTGGACGCTGACACTGGTGGAAATAAACACACAACACTGTATTGTTACAGTAAAAGGGACTCATAAGGAGTGTGCTTCTCTCCCAAGATAAAGTGGCAGTCTCTTGTAACCCTCTCAGCCGACTCCTGACCAAAAAGGAATAATATGCACTCTGCCAAGATATTTGTGGGAGATAACTCATCTGTGCACAAAGGAAGTACGTTTAAAAATAATTACAGCGCTGTTATCGATTTGCAGACCATTTACGACCTCACCCTGTCAACACACAGCAGGAGGACTGCAGGCCGTTTGGCTGTGGTCATGAGAATGCAACTGCAGATGACCTGTAGGTCACTGCCTCATTTTCATTTTAGTGCAACTACGGCTTGTTGCACTGCTCTGTAAGGATGAGTCGACCAAATAACAGAACAAATCAAGACTAGGAATTTGCTTAACAAGTATGCTGTGCAGACAGAGTGGGGGAACTGCAGTCCACTTTAGTCGCACTCGTGAGTGACATTGCTATTCTTATGTAGGTACAAATCTCGAGAGGCCATCCTCTGTAGTCTCCACTCGCATGTTGCACTAATCAACGGATTTCTGGAGTTCTCCTTCTCTGTACTTACCTCTGCTCTGCGCCTCTGCTCTCCTGCGTGAAGTCTCCCTCACTGTGGCGTACGTATCGTATTTCGTTTCGAGAAGTTCAGTGTATATGTCCTCCTGTGACGCACACTGGGCTTTGTTCGTATCGGCGCCCATGAAGACACCATGGTCCCCCTCCATAGTGTGAATTGGAGGCAGTTGCCTCAGTGCTTATCTGCACACAATGTTGGGCACATGTCTCTCCCCAGTGAACTATTCCTGGCTTCCTGGACGCGTCTGCTGACGACAACAGGAAGTTGTGAGGGGGAGCTGAAGCTGCCTTTGAGTTTGAGGCCTCCCATATGACCTGCGCCATCCATGATAACATTTTTATCTGCCGCGAGGGGCTCTCACAGTCCAAAAGAAATTACTCCAAGCTAAATGAGACGTCAAGGAGCGGAGGTTACAGGAACTAAACAGGGCTGCAAATAATATTGGCTTAAGGGCTTGTGAAGATCCAGGGAACATCATCTCAGCCATACTGGGACCCCTCGGGAAATGGTTGGATGACATTTTGGGATGGATAACAAATGAAGCAAAACAGTACAAGCTGCCCCCACCCCCCTCTCCCTCCCCCCATTTTGAAAGTTGCAGAAATATTTGAGCACATCTTGGCCATTATTGTGGTTGTTTTGGATGTTATTCAGAATAAAACATTAATCCTAGTCATAACATTTAAGATCAGGACTGGGAAAGTGGCTCTGTTGCACATAGCTGTTGGGTACCAACAACTATATTTGATGGAAAAATACAGTATCAGTTTACTTAGACATTAGATTTTATAGCAATAGAGACCTCAAACCTCAAGTCTCAAACCAAAATCTCAACCTCAAGTCTCCGTCTAAAGATACTTATAGTCCTATTGCTGTCTCCGTCCATCATTGTTTTTTCTTAAATGTTCTGGGGTGCACTGTCCAATGATTTAGATTATTCCGAGAATAAGGAGATCTTGGCAAACAGGTTTTGTTTTCATGTGTTTACTTACTAACTCCATACCAGCATTTGCAAAGGTGAAAGGGTATTTGGTAAAGGGTGTAAGAGGAAGTGGAAAAACAGGATCAAAAGAAAACATTTGAAACCACCTGAAGCCATTTGGAAACACCATGAATCGTGAAAGGAATCGAATGCCCTTTGGAGCCTTGCAGAGTAAAGGAGGTCCTTGAAATAATCACAAAATAAGCAAAAGATACACATTCACAGCAAAAAAAAAGCATACTGTCCTACTTGCTTTGTTCAATATGTGCTGATAGCTCTTAGAAATTGCAGTTAGCAAAGGATAATTTGATCATCAATACTCAAAAATCATATATATATATATTTGCAAATGAATAACCCAAGCACACTAATCTACCTGACTGAACAGTAAGGCATAGGGCTTTGACCCTAAAAAAGATCAGCTTCTGCCTTCTCTATACAAGCGGCTCATTGCTAATGCAGAGATGACTACCTATAAATTAAGTTGATTTGTACTGTATGTTCACTATTAATTGATTAAAGCTGCCGATTTCTGCGGGGACATTCCATTTTGTAAAGAAGGTTTGGCCACCTTTCGGAATATTATTCCCAATTTTGGTTCTGGTTTCACAGATTTAGGCATCGGCTGCCTCACATCACCAAGTCTTAAAAAGTTAAGAGCACTACCGCACAATCTCTGTGCATCTACAGTTTTGCTTGTTAGTGAGGGACACAAAGATATTCTGTTGCACTGCCGGATATAAAGATCTCTGTCAGCAATATTGCATCTTTTGACCGCAATGAGCCCAATGTACTGGGGATGATGACCTAATTCAACATCATCATCTGTCTGGATTTCCAGCTCCTGTGCACACCAGCAGTAACCGAACTCAAGCCGTTTATGTGCTGTAGGGAGTTTACACATCCAGAAATATATTGGGTCCTACCAAATTGAGTCTTTTGTTAAGTTTCACGTCAAGAAGGTTAAAATATTGTGCAGGTCCTGAACAGGAAACGAAACTGCACGGCATTCCAGATGCTAGATGACAGGAAGGAAGTTAACTATAAATAAATTATAGAAAAGAGGATACTTAGAAGAAAAAAAAGTTCCTTAGCAACAGCATGAAACTGCCTTATGTTAAAGCACTAGTTTGCTATTTTTCCATCTGATTTCTTGAAAGAAAGGGATGGTATTGATGGGGTCAGCTCCTCCAGATGTACAGTGATGCTGCACACCCAAGTGAAGCAGCTGTGCGGATTGTGAATATCTGATGAGCCTGCAGAGTAAGAGAGGAAGCCTTATCATCAAGTGAGAACAGTTTTTAACTGCACTCCCACCACTTTACCTTTTTGTACCCTGGAGAGTTGAGAGTTGAATGTCCCCGGGACTGCTTGGACTTAGTTTGGACTTCCTGGGAATGCTCTTAATTGTAGTGCTCTGTTCTGCCAAAACATTTGCATTTCCACTCATATAAAGGCAATTTTGCATTTATCAGGGACTTAAATGCTCTGGTTTCCTGCCTGACAGTATATCTCCATACAAGCTTAGCAGTGATAAACATTTATAACACTTACAGTATAACACTTGTTGCTCATTTCCTCTCAAAGGATGTTTCATTTCTTTTTTTTTATTTTAGAGAACAGACAAGACCATTTTAAGTACAAATGACATCACACAACCATCCTTTTTACAATACAAATTTGCAAATATACATCATACATGAAAACTATTCTTATCTGTTCCCTAAATATTTTACAATTATTTTACTTTTTTGTATCCAAACTGTATGCAAAGTAAGGAAGATGCACACATTTTTTATGACTTATGAAGAGGGAGAAATGCATGTCGATACGCTTTCTTAACTCAAGTTTCAGCTATTCTCGACAAATTCAGACTTCAAAGGTTTAAAGTTGTACTCGACTCTCTCAAGTGAAAGTCCAGCTTGTCAAGTTGCAGGACTCAAATATATTCTCCAGAGCCTCATGTAAATCAGTCCAGAAAAGCTTTATTTTAGCGCACTACCAGAATATACGCCAATTATGACCTTCTCCAGCATTTATTTTGCCCAGTATGGTGTGTCTTCTGCCTCAAACTAATAAATAATTTAGCTATATTTTTTCCAGCAAAACTGTAAGCGTGGGTTAGTACATTCCCATTGAAATTCACAAATGTTAAACCACTCTGAATTAGAAATCCTAACTACTTTCTTTCACATTTATCATATTTGTCATATTTATCTTTTACATACTCCGTAGAATGTAATTTATTTTCCATTAAACCCTTCTACAATCTACATATAATACCTTTACCTGTTTCTGATTTGTAGGCATTCTTTACTACTTTTACCTCTGCTTCATCTAAAATATCTTGTTCTCCCTTTTAATATCTTTTGAAATAGTGGCAAACGTGGATATCTACAACAATCTTGATTTAAGGAGTAGGATTCCTCTGCCGGCCGCAGGATACGAACCAGCAACCTCCCAGCCACAGGCGCAGATCCTGAGCCACAGAGCCACCGTTTACAGTAGGAGGTTGAGGTATTACAGCCAGGTCACACAGCAGATTCCTGAGGAGTGAACCTTAAGACATCCGCTTCACAAATCCAGTAATGAGAAGAACTGCAGGTTTTATCATCCCAGTTTTTCATGGAATTTGCTTCTGGATTGATGACCACACACCGTGGAATTTTATTCCGAATGTTAGGCTGTTTATCACCCCAGAAGCTAAAACAGAGAAAAGTTCCTTCAATTTGAACATAGTACTGGTATTATCGATTAACATTAATTAGACTGTGATCACTATTCACCAGCACAACTGACTTACACACTCTGCTGTTAATACATCATGACACTGGGCAGAATTAACATGATTCTTAGCGAACCATTTTAGACATCACCGATTAAGCATCTCAGGAAATTGCGAATTCATTATCTAATAATAAATATTTCTACACTGTGTTGGAACAGATTGTACTTTGACTCCTCCCCGAACACAGCATTGTGACCAGCTTGCATTTGTACACTCTCAGATGGAACATCCTAGTCCATCATAGCATTATTCCAGTTATTGAGCACCAGGATGAAGTGGACACTATGTTCTTGTGACGCCATCCTAAAGCTGATGCTTTACAGTAGTGGAGGTGGTCTGGCCACAGAGAAGACCCAGAGTCACTGCAGGTGGCACTGCAGTGTCGATCCCTCAGTCACATATATACAGTACCGTTTTTGCACAGGAGAGGTGAGGCATTGAATTAAATTAACCTCTATTACCCCTAAGGGAATCTGTCTTGCACATCAAGAGCTCATAATGTATTATGTTATGCTGTATGGTGCATTGTTGTGTTCTCACCTTTCATTCTTCAGTGGAGACCCATTCACCCAGTGCCAGTTTTTATCACTGTTAATGTCTCTCAGACCAATCCAGACTAAATCCTTCAAAGTTCTCACTTTACTCCAGATGAAATCCTGAGACACAAAAAAATAGACAGTCGGTGCAGTACAACGGTATTTCTATGGGCTTATCAAGATGGGGGGAGGGGTCTTGAAAATTCAGTTGAGTCGTCATCAGTAAGCCTGAATTTCAGGCCAGTTAGAAACAAGTCACCAGGGTCTGGTTTCCTTAAGTGTGATTGGAAAAATGAAAAACAGGATATTTCAAATTAGAATGGAATCAGTAACCAAAGACAGGAGAATTGCAAATGCCAATGTCATTTCCTAAAGAGAATACTATCTGGCAACCTCTGATTCTGTTTCAGGTAAAGTTATGGAAATGCTGGCTCTCGAATGTCAAGTCTCTGAGGAGAGCTCTAGACAGGACTGTGATGGGCAGATAAGACACTATGCTCTCTGACTGTGAGTTTGACTTTCTTCATCTGAGTCCAGCTGAACAGTGGTCTCCCAGCACTTACCTGCTCCTTATCACTGTCTATAGTCACAAGGTGTGCCCCCTGTGATCTGCAATAGTACTGACTGGCAATCCAATCCATTTTGTCTTGGTACAAGTGGTAGCATTTCCCTTGGTTTTGCATCCAGTTCTGTGGACAGGGCTGACAGCGTCTCTCTGCAGGGTGACAAACACAGGCCACCCAAGTAAGGCACCCAAGTGAAGCAGAGAGGCAGCAACACGTTGTCTTCACACACGTGATTTCTTTCATAGTACCCGTGTACCAAGACACACATCCACAAAGATACATGCATAATCCACACATTTAATGGGTAAACCAACCAATAAAGCTTCTATTTCACTCATTATGTCCACCTTTAAAGTGAATCAAGACTGAAACTATCTCACTAACAACACACACCAGTGTCTACTGTTTTTTATTATTGAGATGTTAATGGAATCAGCAATTGAGCTAAAACATTTTAGTTTAAAAACAGAAAACCACTGCGTAGGTCTACTCTCAGCCTTGTGGGCAGCATAGCATAGGGGATAAGTCTAGTGTCACAGTGGTGGGTTGAAGTTAAGATTTCCTGATGTAGTCACCACAACTCTGTTGTACCCTTGAGAGGGAATGTAACCCAGTTGTGTAATGTACCTCTGCTGTGGACCAGCAGTCCCGATCCCTTCTAAGGTCTAAGGCCCCCTGTCTGGGGATAGAGTCACGTGCTCTCTAGTCCATTCAAACCTGTGGAAACTTGGATGGGCTGATGAGGTTCAAACATGGACATTATGAAATAACCAATCGATAGTATAGCTCCACTCACCATGCACCTTATGGTCATCAATGGGACAGTACTGACCCAGAATGGGGAATTTCTGGAAGAACTGGGCAAGGAGGTTAGTACTGTTCTGCATCTGGTGTCCAGTGCTATAGTTCATTTTGGGCTTGTTCAGTTTTTCATTCAACATAGAGTCATTTTGAGGCCGACTGCTGTACTTTTCACCTCTACTGCAAGAGACATTATCTGAGGAAAGAAGATACATGTCCAAAGTCTTGCTGAGACACACACAAGCATGCTAAACTGCACAGTTCCTCATAAAGCTTGACAGTGACAAGTACAATCTTCAATCAACTCACTGTCCATCTTGAGATGATGAGATAGACTTGGAGCGCCTTGTTGAATTAGACAGCAGTGACAGTCCCTTCACAGAACAGCTATATCATTAATAAAACACTGACTCCTACACATAAACCTCCACTGCATGTACCAAACATTGCAAGCCTGTCACAGCTCTGGCCAGAAGTGAGCAGATCAAGTATGTCAATTTCTTCTATGACATCATATGAATTATGTGCCAGAAATCGTCAGAACTGTTCTGTGCTTCCAGGAAGAGGCAAGACGTTGCACCACACAGTAGTAACTCTTTTATCCTACTGGTAGAGGGCCAACATTGCACAATATATAACTCCAGGATGAACATTGGTTCTTCAAAAATCAGGCAACGGGATTTTATTTCTATGTAAGTTCAGCACACAAGCGCAACACTCACACAGATCAAACCAAAACGGACTCACAAACATGGAGCTTGACAGGGTTATACTCACAGTAGACAAACTGGGCTATGACGGTAACCAGCAGGACAGCACACAGCAGTCCCTGACACACTGCGGTCCGTCTGTAGGAAGGAGGGCCGCGCTCGGATCTCATTGTGGACATAGACACTAATGGAAAGAGCACAGCACTATACTACAACACCTAAGTCACCGAGCTACTTAATACAAACTGTAACTACTGGGGAGGGGAGACATTTTGATCCTGTGCTTGGCATCACCTGTTTCTATTGATAAATGTAACTAGTTTAGATAGTAGATAAAACAAATATGTGTATTCATTACTGGTAAGCTGCTTTTGACTTTTGAAAACAAGGTTCTGCCAGACAGGATAGATGGGCTTCTCATCTGTACTATTTTACTTACAACAGCTCCATGGGTGGAGTGCCAGGGCATCACAGGGCCACAGAGAGTGACAATTTAGAAGAGCTGGACACACCAGGCATGAAAAGTGCTTTTCTGGGTTAGCATGGCTCAGGAACCTGAATTCTGAATACGGAAAAGCTCCGGGTCAGCACAGATGCACGCTGCCCTGTACCCATTGCTTGGCAGGATAGAGTCTGGCTGCCTCCCAATCCTGAGTTGGATAAAGCAGTTAAATGGATAGAATCATTTTCAGAGTGTGATTAACCTGCAGGTCCAGGAGGGGGCACAGTTTGTGCTGACTGAGATCCTTCCACCTTCACTTCTTCATAAGTGACCTCCTCCGGCGTTACTGGCAAAGCGATAGCACCAGAGAAGGGCAGAGAAGAAGAGAATGATGAGAACACAGCAGTCCCTAAAACCACCCAGCAGCACTGAGAGCAGACTTCTGATACATGGAACCACTGAAACAATACTGAAGACTTGCACTGCTACTTCAGACTTCGCAAGTAGTAACATGTGCACAGTGTAGAAATGCATCAAGTGTTCAGCCATTTCTTTGAACCCTCGAACAGCAAGGCTTGCCAAAGGACCAGAAAAGATTCGAACTATAATTCCATCCTTCAGAAGTGAGCTGTTGCTCCAACAGACCAAGGGCACAAAGCCATTGGTCTCTCGATTGTCAGGATATGCAGTACTGTGCTTTCCCACTCTTGACTCCCCCCCATCAGGCATGTTCAACAGGTTATACCACCTCACTCCTGTGCCGAATGAATTCACTAACAAGGCGATCCGGTGTTTACGTATGCACCCATCACTTCAGCAAATAGTGGGCAATCGTGTGTGATCAGCCCATCAACAGAAGCCCCAAAACATTGGTATCTAAATTCAACCATCATCATGTACAAAAGGTTTAAAGTACAGATTAAATTAAAACCTGGACCCAATCATCCATTTTCTAGCTCGGTGCAGTAATTCAAAAGTCCAAGTCCTGACCTGTCTACAGTCTTTCAATATTGCGTCTTGCAGTCCTTGTTTTCACTTTAAAACATGTATTAATAAGATCATGGTTATGAGTGGTGGTGTATTTAAGCTAATGACTGCTTTTCAGTTTGTGCCACTCAGTCAATCACTGTGACGGCGAGAACAGCCAGTGTTTCTGTTAATCGGGTAACATCCACTTGGTTCGATCGCACAGCATGATATAAGAAAACTGCCTTGACCAAAAAATAAATAAGTACGATAACACCAAAAGAGAAGGATTAATTAACACTCACCCCTTGTTCTGGGACAGGAGTTTGCTGTGAACTTGACGGTAGAATAGTACACTTCGTCAGGCATTGTGACATCTGACTGACTCAAACAGCACAGCATTGCACCTAACTGACACAGAGGCCGAAACACCACATAAAACACAGATTTACCGACAGAAGTCCTGACATGCCACTTAATTTACCGACACACTGAATTACTGATTAATGCATTGAAACAAACGCAGATACTAACACCCCCAATGGAAAACCACAAACAACGTGTGAGATTGAACCATCCAGAAATAGCAAGAGAAAGAGAGAGGTAGCTGAAGGGTGAAAGTGTTGGTATGTTGTTTCTTTTCATAAAACATCCTCTTTCCTTCTAACATCTGTCTCTTACTTCTGCTTTCTATTTCCATTGCTCTTAGATTGAGTGCATTAGATTGAGTAGCACTAGACCCAGGCTCTTGTCTTTTAAGCAGAGCAACTTCATCATATCTGTTACCTTCTTACCAAGAGGATGGTAAAGTATTAGGATGAGTCCTCAATAACATGGGTATTATGGAGGTGTTATGGCTCTCAGATCATGGCTCAACAGTGATAGACTATTTGGCTCTAAAAACATGCCAGGCTAGAAGTTACTAACATCCCAAACAGCAAACAGCAATGCTCAAGGTTGCCAGACCCAGGACATCATTATGCCAGATTTCTGATGACCAGGATGGCAGACACATGATGAGAAACCCAGGAAAACTGGATGCCAGATAACATACTCAGATGGAATACTCATACTTGGATGCCATAACATACTCAGATCTTGGACCAGATGGCTCTCTCGGATTCCTAAAGATTCACGGTCTTCCTTGTTCATCTTTTGTTCTGTTTTTCTTTCAGTTTTGGTAACAGACACGCACACATGTGTGGCAATTACAATTACAAATTGTGATGCCTCACGAGCCCCAATGCACCTGCATTGAATTCCATCCAGCATTCCCACACTTGGAAGGAGCTCATCAGGGCCAGCCCAAACGAGATCAGGTCGGGCCTATCAGCCTCGTTAGGGGAGAAACATAGACTATTTAAGCCCCACAGAAGCTCTTCCTTCCCCGCGTCTCCTAAACACCCTCCTAATTACCCCCCACTAAACCTAACAAACTCCTCCGCTGTGTCTACTCAGATCATTATTCATCACCGTGCCTTAATCTCCATCCAAGGGTGAGGCATAACACAAATAAAATTCCATGGCTTCCTCACCAAGCAGTCTTCACAAGCTTCCCAGTCCCTGCTGACGGGGAGCGGACCTATAACATAATGCTGATGCCACCATCAGGCTTGGCTGTAAGGATGGGGGATGCATCGTCTTAGGTCGGCGTCAGATATAACACTTTGCAGTTAGACCCAAAAGTCCACTGCTGTGCTCCTCCCGCCATAAAACCTTTTGCCACACATTTCACTTAAATCCTTCATTGCAAACACGAATTGTTTGGTTAAGTTCCATACAGGTCACCTCTGAGGAGTGATCAAGATATTGTTCACCTATAAACACTTTCTCCCGGCTCGGCCACTGTATCTCTTTCAATGCCACCATTGGTCTCCCACTAGAATCCTTCACCTGTTTCCATCTCAGCCCGCTAATCAGTGGCCAGTATCCGTGTCTAAGTTTCTACTGCTGCTTAATGGCCATTCTCAAAGGGATATTAAAGTTCTTTGAAAGGATTTTGTACCCTTCTCCTGATCTCTGTGTTTACATGACTTTATTTCTGATGTATTTTGAAAGCTCTAAGTCCTCCTGATTGCTTGAAATTTGCTACTACCTGAGGAACATTACAGAGCCAGACCCATTTATTCTGAAAGCATGTGAACCACTATTGCTGCGCCAAGACACGCTGGACATCCAAAGTCATCTAAGCATCTGAACTAATTGAAATTTTGCACAGCGGAGGGTGTGAATACGTTTGCAGTCAGCGTTATTTAGTCTCCGATAACATCATTCACCATAAAAGTGTTCAGTTTGAACATTAATATTTTGATTCAATGTTTTTGCATTAAACCAATACCTATACAGTGGGTACAGAAAGTCACCATTCAAAATGTTCTCCTTTTGTTCCCCTAAAGCCCAAAAATAAGACAAATTAAATCAGACTTTTTCCAGTTTTATTTACAAATTGTACCTTGCAACATCCAAGTGAAAAAAGAAAGCAAAACATCTGGGAAAAAAAAGATAAAAAAGTAGAATAACTGGGTTGGATAAGAGACCCACCCCTTGAGTTAAAACTTGGTGGTTAGCTTGAATTGCAGCCTTGAGTCTGTTTGGATACGTCTCTACCAACTTGAAATTAAATTCCAATCAAACCATGATCCGATTGACCCTTCACGCTCTGTGGTGGTGCTCATGAAGCATTTGGAGGTGCCATGCAGACCTTACAGAGCAATGATCCATGATCACTGCACTGAGGCACCAACACTCGGCACTCACCTGCTGTTCCAGAACTGCTTTTTTTTTAGAGAACATCACAGAGGAATAGTTCACTTCCTCAGACATTGAACAG